AATGTTAATGCCATTCAAAAGATAATGCTGTAGAAGGTACATGACCTGACTCTGTATACAGCTGGCTCTGCATACATCAAGCCATTCAATGTTGTGGCAGTCTCATAACCATAAACAGGATTTGTAGGTTGTGTGTTGGCACAGGTTGCCTACATAGTTGTCATCTGAAGAGCATCTTCTGAAAAAAAAAAAACAAACAAAAAACCCACAACATATTTTGGTGCAAGGAGTGGAAATGGATGGTCAGTATGAATTATTTCTCTTTCTTTCATCAAACAGCAAGCAGAAGTCCTAGAAGACAGCAGTGATGATGACGATGTTGATGATGATGAAGTCTTTGGTTTTATAAGCTTCTTAAACTTAACGGAAAGGAAGGTTGGTATTCCTGATTAACTTCTAGGCAGATGTAAGTGTGGCTGTGTTCTGCTTTTCTGCCTGGAACAGCATGCTGAGATAGTTGGGTCAGGATTCTGAATTCTGCCATGGAGGATTATGGTCTTAGAAGTTCTGCATCCCTTAGTTTTCTTTTGGATCTAATCCTGCATAACTTGCTGAAGGTCGGAGAATTGAAATAGAGAATTAAGACTGGTCTGACAAGTATTTCCAGGGCAGCTGAGCTGACAGCCTCTTACATTTCTGCACTTCCATCTTGTGCAGCTTTTGAATTTTGCTGTTAAATGTCCTGGTGTCACAGCTGCATTCCTGTCAGTTAAGAACTTTGGTTTGCTCTCAGCTTCAGGGCTGGTAAATATCAGAGGAATCATACAGTGTTTTAGGGACCACGTAAGGAAATTGTCTGCAGGACTGTTGGATGCTCCCTCGAAGTTCACTTTGAAGGTTTTCTTGTGTAAATAATTGTGGTGCAATGTAAAAGAAGTATACCTTTTGATTCTAGGGTACACAGTGTGCTGAACAAATCAAAGAGCTGATTCTGAGTCGGTGTGAGAAGAGCTGTGAGCAGTGTGTAGTTGAACAGCTGGATAAGCTCCTGAAAGATGATACTAAGCCTGTGGGTCTGCTTCTGAGTGAAAGATTCATTAATGTGCCGCCACAGATTGCTTTGCCCATGCACCAGCAGCTCCAGTAAGTGGTTTTCATTGTGTTTTATTGATGTTTTATTTTGTGTTTAACATGAAGTTGAACAGTACTCTTTGCTTCATGTCTTTTCAGAATTCTTATATAGCACTGCGTTAAGAGAACTGATACTCTAAGACATAAAAACAAAACGATGATTTTCATCTATAAAGTCTGTGGTTTCTTTAATTTTTTTAAATACCCTTGGGCTTTCTATACTAACTGTACTCTTACAAATATGTGCTGTAATACTGTCTTAGCTGGTTTTCTCTAAAGAAGTAACTATATTATAGTTCAACTTTGTATTACAGTCTATTTTCATTTTCACCTAGGAAAAGTTAAAAATTTTTTTAAAAAGCAAGCTTATGTTAAGCAACTGGGATATTTCTGCTTATATGTTCATGTCTGGCTCAGGAATGGAAAATTTGGCTTGAGGGATGGGCTTTTAAGGTGGATGAGTTCTGGCCCATGAAAACCATATGCAGTGTTCTGGTAAGTTCCAGATAAATAAGTGAAGTAGGCCAGGGGCTGGCTGATCTCTTCTGAATTCATGGATTTACATCATAGATGGGATGGCAGTAAGTAAATGGATTGATTATACAATATATATGGTGTTATACTAGTTTAGTGCCACACTGGAAACCAGGAGATTGTGTTGGTTACAGAGCTGCAGTGATTGGATGGAGATAACTTCTTTCCCCTCAAGTGCTTCAAGGCCTGACTTTGACGTTTAGTGCTAGGAATGCAGCTGTCACAACTCAAATTCAGGTCTCAACCTCTTCGTCTTAATGTTTTTGGAGCATTGCAATGGCAACTCATTTAACAGAAGAGTGGGCAAGTGTATCTTCTGTCTGTTCAGTAATAGCTTCGTGTGGAAGTGATAATGTGATTTATTTACAGGAGAGCTGCACTTCTACAGATTTTTTTGTTTGCTTTGAGCAAGATTCTGGAGAAGAAAGTTGGCAGAGGAAAAGGCATCCTTATTTTTTACTGCTTAAAAGTGCAAGTAGTGTGTTTTAAGTTTATGTTTTAGATCACCAGAAAACAAATAGGGTGTAGTACAAATGTGTCTACTAAACTAATATGTTATGAGATTTACACTTGCTGAGGCTTTTAATTGTGTATTTGGACACATGATTAAATGGAACATGTAAACATTTATTTATCTTCAGGAAAGAGCTAAAGGAGGCACAAAGAACAAACAAACCATGTGGAAAGTGTCACTATTACCTTCTTATCAGCAAGACCTTTACAGAAGCCACAAAGAATTCTAAGAAGAAGGAAGGGAGAAATCGGCAAAAGGAAGAATTAATGTTTGCAAATGCAGAGGAGGAGTTCTTTTATGAGGTAACATACATGATTCTATTACTTTAAGATGTTTGTTTTCATTGCAACACTCTCAAAAAGGTGTTTCACTTAAATCTCAAGAGGTATTTTTGCAAAGATAGCTGCAGAACTTTAATTAAATCTATCTTACAAGCAAGGTTTTTTTTATATTGAACACAACTCCTTTCCTGAACCATTGAGAGGTAGATGGTAGTGATTTTTGTGGTTGGAAAAGATCTTTAAGATCAAGTCCACCTATTAGCTGGACTTGAATTAAGGCTACCAAGTCCACCACTAAACTGTATCCTTAAAAGCCATATCTACACAGCTCTTAAACAGCTTCAAGGATGGCATCTCCACCATCTTCATGGGCAGCCTGTTCCAGTGAAAGATTTTAGATGAAGTGAGTGTCTGAACTTAATAATGTATACATCCTAAATAAATTAGTGTTGAAGTCTATGTCCTCCCCAGTCACACATGATGTTAATTAGATTGCCATAAAATGGTATTAAGTGTGGCGAGGTAGACAGTGAGAGCCAATTCAAGCAGAGAGATGCTATTGTGCTTCAACCCAGTGGGCAGCTCAGTGTCTCAAAGCTGTTTGCTCACTTTCCTCAGTGCAATGGGAAAGAGTTGGCAGCACCTCCTTGCTGGGAGGTTAGTATGAGAACCTGAAAAGCTCTAAACTCAGCATAAGCACTGCTCAGCATCAAATAAACCATCAGTGTGTTATCAGTGTTACTGTCATCCAAAACACAGAACCATACCAAGTAGTAGGAACGAAATTGACTCTCGTCCAGCCAAAGCAGGGCAGGTGCCTTTTTGAACTTGTCAACTGGCTGTGCTTCATTCTGGTCCTTAAAATTTTATTGAGGCAGCTGAAGAGAAGTTCTGTTACAACAGACTTGGAGCTATTTGAAAGTTTAGGGCCTCCATTGCTCAAATTGTGTGTTCTTGAGCAAAGCCACTCAACTAATTTGATGGTTTTTCCAAAATTCAATTTGCAGACTGGAGATGCTGCTAGTAAATAGCAAGCCTACAGAGAGACAGGAACTTAACTGTCTCCACAAAGGGAAGATGTTATTTTCTATAGTTAAGAGTTCAGCTCATATTTTTTTAAAACTGGTTCATGTGAGAACTAGAAACATTTCTTAAACAAATTTTTCCTGTCCATCAAACATTTTTGTCTAATAAAAATTGACTGTTCTATCTGTATGTGGTGGATGTCAGTGAAAAGATGAATAATAAACATTACAGGCTCCAGCTTAGTGTTGAAGAAGCATCCAGAGGTTTGCTCTTATTCCAGGGTGAAACTTGTAACACTACTGACTAACACCACTGGGCACAGAAACTTCTAAAGCATTTCTTAATGCAATAACACAAAATGAGGTGCTGTTTCAAAACGAGTCAGAGGGGCACTGGTTTTTCTTTTTTGGTTTTTATTCTGATGCCATTAATCTGCAACAGTGGCAATCATTTTAGTATTTCATGTGAATTTTACAAATTGGATGAAAAGCAAATAGTTTAAGGAATGTAATAGTTGGTTGTTTTAATAGTAGGCTGTTTTGGTGGGCCTCTGGTATGGAAGAAAATTTTGCCAAGGAGGCTGTGGATGCCCCATCCCTGCAGGCATTCAAGGCCAGGCTGGATGTGGCTCTGGGCAGCCTGGGCTGCTGGTTGGTGACCTGCACATAGCAGGGGGTTGGAACTGGATGGGCATTGTGGTCCTCTACAACCCGGGCCGTTCTGTGAAAATAACTTTCTTCCTAATAAGTTTCCATTGTATTTTGTTTAGATTATGTATAATCTTTATGCTAATCAAAATGCTTAATCTTCATGCATTTATTTCTGTTGCTTAGAATGCTCTTCTGAAGTTCAGCTACTCTGTGCAAGAGGAAAGTGACAGCTGTTTGGGTGGCAGATGGTCCTTTGATGATGTACCAATGAAACCTTGGCGGACTGTCATGGTAGTTCCAGCTGATGGAATGAATGTAATTATGGATAAACTCAAAGACTATCTCTCATTATGAACTTTCCCTTAAACGGTTTTTTTCTAAAGCAGACGTGCAGTGCTATATATTTTCAGAAGACTATCGTGGAGTTAATGGTTTTGTACTGCTCAGAGCTTCCTCTGTACACTTAAAAGACAAGTAGATGACTCAACTAAAAATATCTATCAAATGACTGTTTTAATATATTGTATCTTGGCATACTTTGGTATCATCGTTAAGCAGTCAATAAAAATCCAGTGTTACAAGAAAACTTGAAGAATCACTCCATATGTTTTTAACTGCATTTAAATCATATGTTGTTACATTACAAAAGAGAAATGCTTGCAACTTCTTTTGTTAATGAAAGTGCTGCTTTTCTGTTTCTTCCAGTAAAAAAAAATTTATTCTGGAAGTTCAAAATAATTACCTGAGTTAAGGTGGGAATGCATACAGCATGCACTGTTTCTATTCATATTTATCGAATATATGGTATTTCAATCTAAAATCACTGAATAATACATCTCTGCTCAGTGGGAGTTTGGGGGTATTTTTCATTTTCTTTGTTGTCACTGTTAGTTTTCTGTTTCTCCTTGATGGCTGAAACAGGTGACAGGTGATCGATCACTTCCTGCAGGATATCCTTACTTTCACTAGGAGGAAGATTGCTAAAATAATACTGAGGTGCCAGCTCCACGAACCTGTTGAGGAAGTAAGAGAAAACATTATTATGTTTTTAATTGAATTTTGAAATCTTTGTATAGCTTTTATCAGGCTTGTATCAATAAAAAAAGACCAGTGACGTGCAGTATGCAGCTACAAAATGGATATTTCAACTCAAAACCAAAAACTGTCTACATGATGTAGTAGTGATTTATGTTTTCAGTAGGATTGTTGGACCTGTTGTCCTCTTTTTATATTTGGGGTGAACTACTTGTAGTTCAGTTCCCAGTGCTGCAGATTGCATTAAGTAGTAATTTTTCTGGATTTGAACATGGTTTTTGGTTTGATACGAGTAGGAAAAAGGCTTTCTTAGAACCATTAGAAATAGAAGAGGAAGGACAGTGGAATGTATATTGCCAGTACAAATAGGTTTTTGCAGATGAAAGACTTGTTCTGAATTTGTAAACACTTGGTATGGAATGATTTGGCTGTCTGGTTGTGTTAACGTGGCGAGAAAGAAGATTTGCAGGAAAATAGCTTCCAGGGAACAAAACTTCCCAACTAAATTAATCTATAAGTACACAAATGTGTTAACTTCTGCTTGATTTTTGCTCTATATTTTACCTTTTAAGAAACTTCTGCGGTTTTTATGGTGTTTTTTCAATGGGTTTATTGATAACAGTTACAGTAGCAGACATTGAGACTCAGTACCTCAACAGATTGGCTCACTTTAGGAAAAACAAAAGGCTGATTAAGAAATGTTTTATTTTGCAGTAGAAGGGTGGTGAGGATGCAGAGGGGTGCAATTCTTCCTTTTTTTAGTAACTGAGTTCTAATGCACTTAGTGCTCTGAATAAAAGCAGAGGAATGAAGCAATGATAAGCAGTGACAGAAGAATACTGGCAACAAAGAAATAAGACTTATTCCACTTATATTTACTGGTTTGTATGAAGACAAACACCAATTTCTTCACCACTTCAGTGATGCCAACTCCTCCTGCTTGACTAGGTATGAAGATTGTTCTTCTCTCTTATCCCAATTTAAAATGTTACTTTGTTTTTAATACCCTTGCCCAGAGAGAATTAGTTGTGCAAGGGATGATTTCTCAGCAGAACTAGGAGAGAGCTGTTTTTAAAACAAGGGAGAGGGAGAGGAGAAGACACAAGTTGGCTTCTCCAAGCATTGCTCTCAATATGCAAGTGCTTCCTTACCCAGTTTATGATTTAAGCATTGCTTTTCTGGCAGAGAGATGAATGAAGAAATGGTTTCACCTTAGTTAACTTACAGATGGGGTGATATTTCAGAGACCACTCTGATGGAATTGTCTTCTGAGATACTGAACTCGTGGAATAAAACCCACTCGGGACTCCTCCTGGTGTTACAATATGATGAAAAAGGATGAAGCTGGGCTACTTGTCTGCGTGTTAGCATTAAGTAGTTACCTGAGCCATCTACATCACGAGCAATCTGAAAAGACAGAGGGTTATCCATTACTTAATTGAATGTACAGGATGCATAGAAATTAAGCTTGTATTGGGATAGTTGCATGGGGAGAGCCAAATTTCTGTGGGAAGCCAGGGACTGCTGAGGAAATGTCAGGCTGGGTATTTGAAGGGAAACCATCTGCATCAAATAGTTCTGTGAAATGGTTCTACATAAGCTAACAATTCTATTATGAGTTAACAATGCAGTAAGATAAGAGCACGGAGTATTTCCTTACTTGCATAAAGTAACCAGATAAGAGAGCTTTCTTAATGCTCAGTATATTTCCTGGTGATCCAAAGTCCGGTTCTGAAATGGGCAGTTCAATGCGCTTCATAATCTCTACTAGTTCAGCTCTGATGATTTCTGCCATCCTCAGTGCAGAACAGCTTAGAAAATAATTACGGCACCATTTTTCATTACTGCAGTCTGTGGAGGGAAGAACAGTATTTTGGCTTAAAGCACAGGTGCTGCTCACAGAGAGATTGCTCTGGAAAATGCTCATTGACCGGTGCAATAGATTAAAAGCATTTTGGAGAGAGTGGCTCTGTCAGAGCTGTCCAAAATGCTGTTGTCGAGAGCCATATGGACCACTTAGGCTCATTGCTCTTTGTAAAGTGAGTGGGCAATACATGGTATCCTTATGTAATATCAGATTTTAACTATCTTTCTGAGTCAAGACATAAAAAATCTCGTATTTGGTCTGTAAAAAGTAATAGTTTTGCACAGGATGAGTAGCAACTCTATTTTCTGTTTTTCTGCTTTCAGGCCAGGTCACAGAACTGAAATCAGATTGGTAGTGCTGCCCATCATCATATGCTGTTAAAGGACAGTTTTTCTTGGTCCTCTCCAGCATTCAGCATTACTGAACACGGAGCAGTCCCATGCCCTGCATCACAAAGGCATGTGAGCACAGAAGCTGTACTTCTTTCTTCAAGAGTCCCCAACAACCTTTTCTTTTTTCTTTTTGTTCTTAAGCATTTTCTGACGTTTAGAGACAGTTGATAGATGAACTGGCCTGACAGCATGGGTCTCGTTACCTTCAGTTTTTATTTAGTATACACAGATCTACCACTCTGAGTTGAGTGAACCTGACCAAGATGCATGAGCACAGGTAAATGTTCTGAAGACAGCTGTACTCTTTAATTTCTTCCCTTAAGCCTTTCTTTATTCATGAGGTATAAAACCTAGTGATTGTTAGGCTACTGGGAATTCAAGGCTGTGTTCTTGTCATGTCATGCCTTAAACCTGGGTTATGTGCACTTGGAGGAAGCATCTTTCTGGTTTTGTACAGTGGCACATAAATGACAAGTATAATCAGCTGCTTACATATCCATGTTAGATAAGGTAGGCTATCCTCAGTTACTTCTAATTATTTAATAAACCAGTGTTGTATTTGCAGTGGCAGCTATCTTAGGTGACTCTTCTTGCAAATTTGACAGTTCTAAAAAGAATCATTCAAAAAGTGCTCATGAATCAAATGCCAACAATGACTGTTCCATTTGAAATATATAAAAAAAAACCAAAACATGTTACCAGCGTGTTTTGTTTGGTCTGAAATGGGTGCACTTACACTGGCCTGCAGAGTTTGTGCTGGCTTGCTTGAAGGCATTGAAGACATTGATAAGAGTAAAATGATCTCCTGCTGGGTGTGAGAATTTTCTCCAGCAGGTAAGGGCAATCTCTTCTGTTCCAGAAGGTGCGTGCAGGAAGCAATTAGGAGCTTAGGGAAAAAAAAACACAGAAGCTAACAGTTATTAAAATTCATGCACCAACAAGGCCCTCTAGCAGTAGCCACACTGGTGTTTGTGTTTCTTTTTCTCAGTTTCCTGTGTTGGATTAATGCTGACCTGAATACACTGCATTCATATTTATGTGGCTTTTCCTTCAATCTCTTGTTTAGTAAATCTTCACTATGAGCACCAAAGGTGAGTGGCCTTCTCCCACACTGGTGCCAAAAATGCTTTGTAATAGCCTGGTCCAATCTATCCACAATCCAAGTGTGTGGTTTAACTTAGAAAAGAAAGAAATGTACTTATGTAATGCCTGGGTTTGCCCTTCTGTGCTAAAGTTCTACTTTTGTTGTGACACCTAACTGCATCTTTTGAGATGGTTGAGCTTTTCAAAAACTAAAATATGCCTATGCTCAGCTGTTCATGTTTGTTTTATTTACTTCAAAATTGCATCATGTTAAGGCCTGCTCACTAAAAATCAAACCATCTGGGGCATAAAAACAGTTTGTGCTGTAAGGAGATGGATTAGTGAAGCTTGGTTTCCTGTACATTCATGATTTCCTCGCTGCTTAAGGCTTTGCTCCACTTTCTGTTCCAAGGATATTCACCGTGGGCAGAGTCAACAGTTCAGTACTGGTTATAATTAGAAAATCCCCCTAATTTACAGCTCCAGTCTGTAACAAATGTGTGTGAATGTAATGAGATATTGTTTTGAAGGAACATTGTGTGTATGCTTTCTGGAACAGGTTGCCCAAGGAGGCTGTGGATGCCCCATCCCTGCAGGCATCCAAGGCCAGGCTGGATGTGGCTCTGGGCAGCCTGGTCTGCTGGTTGGTGACCTGCACATAGCAGGGGGTTGGAACTGGATGATCTTTGAGGTCCTTTTCAACCCAGGCCGTTCTGTGATTCTGTGACAAGTTTAGAAGCTAATGGAACACCTGAAGTGTGGAAATGGAGTGCTACTGACAAATCTGTTACTTGTGCTTCGTTGCATGCTCAAAGTGTGGACTTAAACAGCCAAAGATACTCATTCACGTGAAAAAGTAGAATATGAATAACGCAAGTTTGCCTTTGGGTTGCCCCTGTGAACAGCCTTGGGAAGAGTCCAAGGATTTGGAGGTGGCAGAGGCCATACAGCAAGACATGAGTTGGGAGTACCTGTTACCATGGCTGCGATGGTGAGCATTTCATCAACGCACTCAAATTCACAAGAAGCCAGAATTGATTTTGACAGCTGCGGATCCAGGGGAAATTCTGACATAATGATTCCAAATTCAGAGAGGTTTCCATCGTTATCCAGGGCTGCTAGGTAATCAAGATCCTCTAAAGCTTGCATCAGGCTTTCAGGAGCTAATAAAAGAGGAAAGATAATTCAAATTCTTGAGAATGGATTAAACATTATTTCGGTTGTATATTTCTTATGGAAAGCTTTATTTCTCGTTATAATGTTTCAGTTGTATGTGTCCTAGAACACAACCTCTATCATTTGATAGTGGGTAATGATTATAGGGCTGGAAATGGCTTCATCTTTTGTCTATCAGAGCAGTTCTTATCAAAAGTAAATACTGACTACTGACTGATGTTTTGCAAATCGTCCAAAATTGCTCAGAGAATGCACACTTCTTGTGTGTGTGCTGTTTTTAATGGTTGGGCAGAAGTCACAAGGATTTGGAATATCTTTTTTCTTTTTTCCCCTAGCAAATGGCTGTATCTTTCTCACTGTTCACACAAAAGGGAATATTCAATTTTACTCTATTGTAGGTTGTAACTTCCTTATAACCTGCATGAGAAATGAGAGTGGACAGACTGAAAAAATAAGTTTGGGAACATAATTAGATTGAGAAACTTAGGGGGAAAAAGACGAGGTGAAGAAGTGACAGTTGGGTGAATTTGGGCCATACAGCGAGAAGGGAGCTCATGTATGAGATTGCTGGAGTATCACCTCCATCAGTTTTGGTCAGTTCTGGCTTACAAAGCTAACCCCTCCAAGTCATAGCTGTATCTTCCTCGTATGCATGAGGGTGAGCGAAATCAACAACCCACAAGATCAGCAGATAGAGAAAATGGCTGATATGCACAGACACAAATATCCCTTTTCATCAGTTCCCATTACATCTCATCAGTTATATTCCTCTAGAGACAAAAAGACAGCATTTGCAGTAGATCTTCTGAACCTCTCAGCTGTGTGGCAGGAATCAGCACAGGACACTGACAGAGGCTCTCCTTTTTCGTTAAGTATCCTACTGAACTTATCTGTCTCTTTCTTTTTTTCCCCTCCACTATTTTCCATCACTTTTCTGGGTGTTTTTTCCAGCAGCAAATTGTTCGACTGGAAGAACCCAGAAATGAATTCAGAGCCTCGCAACCACAATGGTAAGAAAACATATCTATGAGCATATGTGAACAAAACTGTAATTAGAGTAAGAACTTGGAAAGACATCTGGGAAATGTGCTGATGAAGGCAGGTCCCTCTGACCAGACCGACACAGGAGAGCTTCCTTGGCAGCTACAGTGGAGGTGGGTTAAGGATGAGAAAAGTGAGCCTGAGAGCCAAGCAGAAATTGCCAAACCTCCAAAAAGTAATTGCTGGAGCATCAGAGGCTGTGGTGGAAATGTGGGCACTCGGGCAATATGACTCATGGCTCCTAGCTCTTTTCAGAGGTAGATTTCTAGTACAGATCTTACAGTAGTAAATTTCAGTATTATTTATGGGTGCTGGTTTGGTTTGATTTACAGCTCCCCTATTGCTGCAGATTCTTTCCCATTTTTCCAGTTGAAGAGCTGTTTGGTGTTTTTTCCTACAATTTTGTGAAGTTAAACCCCAGTCCCACTGTAGATTGGTGGCAAAAACAATCAGAGTTTGGCAGAGGTGATCCCTCACAAAGCTGGAGCATCCTAGAAGAAAATACTTGGGATGTTTAAAGAAATGAAAAGTTACATCTGATGCACAATAAGTGGCAGAAAACAGTTATCAGTGACCGAAAATACAGGGAGATTAAAGTCATCATTCAGACATGGAGTAATTACAGGGAAATCATGGGAAACTAATTTCCAGAAGTCACCAAAGCAGTTTGTGCCATAGGTTATGAAGTATACAGTTACACAGCGGTCATTTTCGATCCCCTGATAGCATCAGTAATTTGCATTTTTATGCCCAAGAATTAGCTGCCTTGAGATGAATAAGCACAAATTTCTTCCCAATTTTGCTATCAGTGTTTTAAAAATAAAGAAATAAAGTAACTCCTGGGTTTTATTGTGCTAGAAAGGCCAAGATAGTAAAGGTAGATAAAGCAGGTGAAGGAACAGTAATAAAGCACAGAATGGAGTAGAGCTTAGTCTGCATTTTGAGGCACAAGCTGAATCAATAAAAAAGATCTTCATAAAGGCAGCAAAAGCTTGCCTGAAAGTTCCTCATGCTTTGATGCGCAGTTTAACAAAATACAAGCTAAATAAATAAAATCAGTACAAATGTTTAAATGTGGAGAGTTGTCCTTTAAAGAATGGATGCCTGCATTGTCTTTTAATGGCTTTAGAGCAGCAAGCATCATTGTCTGTAGGGCTGCTGCTGCATCAAGGCCAACAGAGGGGCATCCCCAGCTGCTGCCTTTGCTGAGCCAGCACATGAGCAGCTGCAAGTGAGAAAGGTATTTTCTTATTCCATGTTTTCTCTCCCTTGCTTTTGTTCTTTGGCCACTTAAAGTTGGATTGCTCAGGGCTTGTCTCAAGGAATCTGGGCTCTTTTGTTTAATTACGCACCCGCTCATTGTCATACTTGGACTTTATAAAGCAAAGAAGCTGAATGTTATTGATAACATTGGAATTGTTCATGCAGGGTTCCAAGCTGACTGTAACCAATGGTCTCAGTGCCTCAGGCTTTTCACAACGTTAACGTGAGCAGAGTTGTTTCTAAAGGCAGCTGCAGTTTTAGCCTTTGCTGTATCTCATCCTGCAGGTCAGAACCTGAAGGCCTTACTGTGTGATAAAATGAATACAAAGGATTACTCTTGATGCAGCAGGAAGTGGCTGATTTAGCAATTTGCCCAAAGTTCTACAAAGAATGAATTTAAGAGGATTTAAGATAGGGTTTTGTAGTGGAAATGCTCAGTCATGGCCTGAAGCAGTGATTGAGCACCTGGGGGAAGGCAGGGCCAACCCAGGGGAGCTCAGGTGCACGTAATGACCTTGACTGGAGTGATTGGAAGGGCTGGAGCCAGGATCCACCCCTTCCCAGACCTCATTTAAGGGCTGGCAGTGGAGGTGAGGGCATCTCTCTGGAGTTCCCTGTCTATCTGAGTTCTTCTAAAGGTAAGCAGTTTTTCTTCCTTTGTTTCTGTGTCTGCTGCACTGGTGCTTGTTCTCATTTGCTGCAGCCTAGGATTGTGCCGCCCTGCTAATATTGATGTACTCTCCATTGCATTACAGGTCTTTTTTGATAGACCTTTATTTCTAGAGAAGTAACTGTTAGGAAACTAAAGCTGAAATGGATGCCAGGATAACTAGTAGGTAGTTGGAGCTCAGGCAATGGCACTCATGCTATCAATTCCATAGTAGTTTTCTTTATGTTATAATTGGTCATTAAAATCCCTTCTCCAATCTCATAGCTTGTAAGAATCCCATTTCCCCTTCTGCTCTTTATGTCCCAACACACGAGCTGGTGATGGTCCCTCCAGGACAGCCAGCACAGGGACCAACCAGCTTTTCATTATTCAATGTGTAATGCTATTTAATCAATTAAATGCAGAAATTAAAGAATGAAGAACTGAACTGAGGGTATAAATCTGCCACGAAGTGCTCTCCTAACCTTCATGGTTTGTCTTTTAAAAACTGCTTTAGACTGTTTCTAATGAAAGCAACACATCTTGTCTCTGAAACAAGATGAAATTAGCCATACTTATACAACGCTCAGTATTACGGATGTTCTAGAAATACCTTCTTGGGGTTATAATAGCACAGCTTTCAAATGTCAAAGCATCCATAGCCATCAAGTATTTTAATGTGAAAGTTGCTGATGACGCTGTGCTAATGTGGAAACTGCAAACTGCTTTCACCTTGATTTCACAGAATCACCAAGGTTGGAAAAGGCCTCCAACATCATCCAATCCAACTGCCACCTACCACCAATATTGCCCCACTGAACCATCTCCTTCAGTACCACATCTGAATGTTTCTTGAACACGTTTCATATGAAAGTAGCTTAGCCTTTTCATTGATATTGATTTCTATAGTTCCAATAAGGTTTTTCCAGTTATGTGGGAAAACACGTAATATTGCAGCCATCTATAGGAAAAAGGTTATTTTCTCCCATTCTATAACGCCTTAATCAGTTAGATCTGATTAACTAATAAAAATGCATGGGCATCACTATTACAGCAGCACAGGAACTCATGTAATGCACTTCAGAACTGCACTGCCAGATACGTTTTCATATAGCTCATGAATCCTAAAAAAGGGTAACGAGCCTGCTGCATTTGCTCATCTTGATTATAGCATGAATTAAACGCAGCAGCTGTAAGCCTGACATGTTTGTTGCTCTCATAATGCAGTAATGAGTCAGAGTTAATCCCAGCTTTTATTTTTCCTGGAAGAGCAGGAGGAAAAAAAAAAAAATCTTGTGCACGTTGTTGTTGAACAGGAATAAAATGTTTTACTGATGTCATTTCTTTGCTTATCTGCTCTGTGTTCTCTGCTCCACGTGCAGGGAATGGCCTGAAGAAGTGCTTCTCTTTAAATTCTTTGTGCATCTTGTTGTTGTTTTTTTCTATTTTTTGTTGTTTTAAAAACTGGATTTCAGTGTATTTTTTATTTTCACCAGTTCATGGCTGTACATTAGTATCTTGCCTCAGTGAAAGCATCACTTGGGTGAGGAATAATTTACCCTGGATTGACAGGATTCCACCTCTCTCCTCCCATCTCCATTGCAAACAAAACTTTAGTAGGCTGACTGAATGGAAGTGGTGCATGGGAAGCATATCTTTTGTTGCTTCTGTGTGTGAGTGAATGGCTGCAACGCATTTGCTCCCTTTCCTCAAGGGTAAACCACATGCATGAAGGAAACTGAGGCTCTGAAGAGCCATGGAGTAGTCAACTCCAGGACAGACCATGCTGCAGAGCAGTAGGATGGCTATTTTAGTCTGTTTTAGTATCTGTTGCTCTGAACTTGGCTCAGCTGAGACAAATAAGTGTGCTGAAATACTGCCCTGTCTTCTCGTTTGTTGTGTTTTTCCAGTTGATCTTATGCCATGTTTAGCTGAGGGTGGGCAAACTAGTAGAATCCACTGGATTCTATGAACCCAAACAAACTGCTGCAAAGATAACAAAGCTTTCTGGGGAAGCAAAAAGCCTTTGCACAAGAGAGCATACTTTGCATCTCTGGTGGCCATTCCTTTCACCTTTTCTGCAAAAGTCCCTTGCAGTTTGCAGACCACAGGTGCATGGCATTTACTTGAGTTGTGCCAGCTGATGTCGTCAAACAGCTGAATCTCCTTGCAAATATCCTTACGTGCATAGTCCTGTTTCTCTCTCTCAAAAAAGAGAAGCTGAAAAAAATCCAATTAAGAATTCCACTTACAGTGTAGCACTGTGCCCAGTGCTGGGAATTAAGCTTTGCTGTGATTGATTAGGGTGCACAACATGTAAAGGATGTGTGGTGGTTCTAATTCCAGATGTATATGAGGAAGGGGAGAACAGTTTAGGCATTCCTATTGGCACTGGAAAATAAGTGAAAAAGCAACAGATCACATGATCCCCAACTCAAGTATAACAGTAGGTCAGAGTGGAAAATACCCTTCTGTGGGAAAAGGACCCCAAATGTGAAGTCAGTAAAAAAAAACAGAAAATCAACAACAACTTTCCTTGTAGTCTTGCCTCAAAACTGAGTGTTTCCTGTCTAGTACTGGAAGTTTATTGATAAAATAAACCCAAGTAATGTCCTTAAGCAACGGCTCATTAGAAATTTGTGGTAGGAGGATAAAGGCTGATTTCCTTTACGTGCATCTCTGAGGTAGCAGAGGTGGTTTATTTGGGTTGTAAACTCTTGATTAAAGGAATATATTTTGTTTGGTGTCTGTATGATGACTTGCTCGATAGGACACGCATTTTCTTTGTGGGCTTCAGGAAAATAGTGTGAAACCTAGATGAGAAGGTACTTGGAATATTGATTTAAAGAAAACAGAAAATTCAAATTCCATTCAGATGCATTATGATGTTTTTCAGAGCACGTGGTTCATTCTAGGAGGTGTTTTTCAAAGGGCAGCTATTGCACTGTGAACCATCCCAGCAGCAAGTGGTAAAAGCAGTGGCAGGGATATTGCAGGTACTTCAGTAAGAAATGTACTGTGAATAACAGGGCAAAAATGACCTGAAATAACCAGAAAGGTAACGTAAACGAGATGGAAAATCAATGCATCGTTACCTGGCCTGCTTAGGAATTCACAGTGTCTGAAGCCAGCTATATCCATCCTCTTCAGGAAGAGAACCATGCTGGTTAGGTTGGATTCCTGCATTTTGGCTGGGAAATCTGGTTTCATTTCTTTGTATGTAAATTCTTCAGGATACAAACAGAAGAGTTTCCCTGCAAGAGTTTTTAGGAACGTTACATTATTTCTAGCATTGTCCCGTTAATGCTATGAATAGTGTAGGCTGATGGGTTGGAATGTTGTGCTGGTAACTGTACCTGATGGAGACGTGCTCAGCATCTGTTTGTGCATCTCTGCTTGGGCTTTGCTGATTGGCTGTGTTATAACAGAGTCTGCTCTGATTCTAGGATTGTACACCTTTAAATGAAAGAGACAGCGAGCATCAGATGAGTGAGGACTACAAATGTATTAATGGTCTGTACTGAATGTCTAGGTTATTGTACACAACGTGTAGTAACAGCCCCATTTCTCCTTATAGTGCATATTTCAGCAGCATGGAAATAAGAACAGCCTACTCTCTGATAAATTGACAGATGCTGAAGTTTTGCAGTAGTTCTGTGGATGTAATCTTAAGAGAAGTGTTCTTTCTAAAGAAATGTACCCTACTAAAGCATAAGGCATAGATCTAAGGGTATCACCAAGAAAAGCATCAGAAAAGCTTATTTTTTTTTCAGTGACAGAATCCCAGCTCTATCTGATAACATTCTGTACCATAATTCTGGAGTTGTGTCCTGGGCTTCAGTATAAAGACAAAGGGACTGTCATCAACACATACAAGGCCCATTCTATTTTTTCCCCTTGTTGCTTTTATTCTTTTATTTTGATGCAGCTAAGGAGCTGATTCCCTCCCTTCTCCAGGCACCAGGTGATGGCCAGAAGCTTCTGAACGGATAATGGCTGGATAAGGCAGTTTTCTAATCAAGTCATCTAATTTGATCTTGTCTGCTTTAAGCAGAATTTTAATCAAAAAGAGAAAATCTGTTTCAGTACAAGGCACAAATCTGGGTATATTCATTATATAGCCCACCTGCCAGACTTCAGTGGGAATTCCTTCTGCACAAAACCTTGCCTGCACTGAGCTGACTTCCAGCCATATGGATTGAATGTACATTTGATTTGCTGAGAAATGAATATTAGAGGACTGAGCTTCTGCTGTTACGACAAAGTAATTGAGTTGAAGGGGTAAAAATGGTGTAATTAATAAAGGTGATGTGACAGCCATCAGGGCTGTGCTGAAACTGATTTGTTCCCATCCCAAGCTCTGGATTCTGCTTCAGGCTTCAGACCGAAGTGGAAGTAAGATTAGTTTCAATCATCACCTGGAACAACAGCTGTAGTTTCAGAAATGACTGTGTTATGCACAACCTAATTGAAAGCTGCATTTCAGCCTTTGTTCCTTTCCTACAGAGGTATGACTATTTTTTTTTTTTCCCTTGACTTAAGGCTGAGTTATTTTACAACCCCCAAACGAGAAACTTTAAAATGACAGTGTTAGACTTGCTTTTTTTTTTTTTTTTGACAGTGATAATGAGGTGGTGTTAATTCCCAAGCTTCTGCCTGAACCAACCCTCAAGGCTCATCAGAATGAACAATCCCTGCTTGAAAATGGTAGGAACTTTAGTTCAGTTTGGGTGATTCAGTAGTGGGTTATTTGAAGATACCCTGATCTCGTTCCTTTGGCCTATTTCTGGGATATCCCTTTTGCCCAGTAGGATGTGTTAGTGCAGCTACAAAGCCAAAGTGCAGCTTTCCAACACACAAAGTGATTTATTCCTGCATAGCTGCTTGTTCTTTAGGACTCAATATCAGTTTTTTAATAAACGAAATAAACTCCAGGTTTGCAGCTGCACCAGTTCTTCCTAGAATAGTGTGGAAAACACTGAGGACACTGAATTCATTCATTCATCTCAAAATGCTGCAATTTGCTACTTGGAGGGAAGCAGACAGGCCAAAGGAGCAGAGGCAGCTTTAAAAACATGTGGTTCTGTCTGAGCATCTTTCTGTGTTATGTGATCAGTGGCGTTACACTGCTGGTGCAGGAATTAATGGAACAAGGAGTGAGGTTAATCTCCTAAACCAACAGATAGCCAGGAAATGACGAGATATTGCTCCACGTGGAAGATACTGAAGACACACTGATGTCTATCAAAGTTATTTGTGATAACTGAAATGTGAAAAATATTATAGAATCTGGCTTATGAGAGCATGGGAAAAATATGTGATTCCTTATTTGCACCCATCTGTACCTTTCCCTTTGTTACACGGCTCGTTTTGGGCATCCTGGTTTTGTTTAATGTTACCAACCTTTCTTCTTTCCACACCAACATCAATGACAAAGGTTATGTTCTTAATCTGAACCAAAGATTCTCCAAAGCTTGTGGTAAGTAGCACTTTTCTTCTGTATTTCTGGTAGCATTTCTGTTTGTCCTGTTTTGGTTTGGGAATTAAGTCATTTCTTGAGGGGTATAAAGGAACTGGGATGAGCTCCCCGAGGTCGGGATTTGAATTAGACTGTTCCTGTCTGATCATTTGGGAGGCTTTCTCAATGTCCTGTAATCAGGAGAAAGATTTAATATTTTACTCGTTAATATGAAAAATAAATATGGTTTAACTATAAGGCACTCATTTCTAAAATAAACTTGAACCGCATACCAAACTGTAGCATTTTAACCTTACAAGAATAGCTGTTACAGCATAAAGCCAAAATTGATCATAAATACAAGTGGAAATTTGACAACTGTACCAGAGCAGGGAATATCTGTGCTTCTTCTTGAGATGTCTTTTTTTTCCTGTGCGTTTTTCTGAACGCTCATCTCTAGATTTAATCATATCCAAAACAACCTCCAGGGGAAGACAGATGAGCATCAGTGTATTATGGGAACGCTGAGGATGAGAAGTTATGAACAGGCACCTAAACTTCATGTATATAGGATATGTATGCATCCACATTGATTTAGGCCTAAAGAGAAGGGTTGTTTGCTAAAACAGGCAGGCCTGGGAATTCTGTAGCAGATGCTCCAGTGCCCCACTGGTATCCCCTTTCCAGCTGGACCCAAAGCTGTGGATGTGGCTGCATCCCCAGAGGTGGCTGCCTCTGGGCACAGTGCTTGGGTAGAGTTCTTATTGAGTTGCAACAACTTATTTATAGGTTAGATGAAAACACAGATGAGAATCATTTCTTGATTGAAACCATAAATACTGAAGCCAGTTACTCACTTGCTCGCACGCCAGGAAGATGACGATGTCACCCTTTTCCTTCGTGTGGTGTAGCTCAAAGAGCAGCCTCAGTGCAGACAGAAAGTGGTCCTTTGGCATGCTGCAGGCGTACACCACCTCTGCCTGGTGCTCATTTTCCACTCGGATGAGGGGGACGCTGCCGCAGAAGTCCTGCAGCTTGCTGGACATGTGGGGGGCAGTGAGTATCACCAGCCTCAGGGCTGGTCTTGCTCTCAAGACATGTTTAAGAACACCAAGCAGCACATCGGTGGGAACAGTTCTTTCATGCACATCATCCAGAACGATAACTCCATAAGAGTTCAGAAGAGGAGCAGACATCATTTCCCTCTGCAGCATATCATCTGTGCAGTATCTGTGCCATACAAATGGAAAACTGCAAAGTTTCATGAAATATTCAGGTTTGACTGTACAAAATTAATTCAGGGTCTTGAGGACAGTTTTGCACTTTCTGTTCTAACAAGAAAGATTTGATAAGAACAGATACTGTCTGTTTTGTGGACTACCACAGTCTCAACAACCTGAATTCTTTAAGTGTCTGAAAACTCAGTGAAAGTCAGTGATGCTAAATGGCATTATAGTTGAAAGGACAGGAGACTCAAGGTAAAAGAAGAAATAATTCCTCCCTAAGATCATAGCTTACCTTTCTTTTCATCTTCCAAACCTTCTAAGCATATTGCACGCTGTAACAAACCCTTGTGCTGTGAAGTAGTACTTTCAGGTAAGGAAATGAAATTATGCGTGCACACACACACACATATATATATATATATATGTGTGTGTATGTGTATGTATGTGTATATATATATATATACATATGTATATATGTCCATCATATATATCCCTCATCTCCATTCTGGCCCTATATATATAGGGCAGTGCCAGAATGGAGATGAGAGATTGATTCATACCACAATGTTCTCCCCAGTTCTATTCCTATGACTATCTAGGGAAACGGAACTAGATGAGGGAGGTGGGACTAGGTGACCTTCCCTGCCAACCCATGCCATTCTGTGATTCCTGCTACTCGGAGGTTTGTTTGCTTGTTGTTTATTTTTTCAAGGATGTTATTTTTTGCTGTGTTGCTCAATAAGACCTTGAATCTTCTTGATCAAGAAGATCGTTTTGACACGTGGATGTTGGATGAGAATAGGGCTCATCCTCCTTTCCCATCAGGTGCAAGAGGAGCTGGTGCAGGAGGTGGTGCTGCAGGGTGAGGGTCAAAGATGATCAGGGGACTGGAGCACCTCCCCTATGAGGACAGGCTGGGGAGAGGCTGAGGGAGCTGGGCTTGTTCAGCATGGAGAAAAGAAGGCTGCAGGGTGAATCATTGCAGCCTTTCAGTACCTAAAGGGAGCCTACAAATAGGAGGGGAATCAACTCTTGGAAAGGGTTGATAACTGCAGGATGAGGGAAATGGTTTGAAGTTGAGGGAGGGGAGATTTAGGTTGGATGTCAGGGGGAAGTTCTTTACAGAGAGAGCGGTGAGGTGCTGGAACAGCTGCCCAGAGAGGCTGTGGATGCCCCATCCATCCCTGGAGGTGTTCAAGGCCAGGTTGGATGGGGCCCTGCGCAGCCTGGTCTAGCATTAGGTGGGAAGGTTGGTGGCCCTGCATGTGGCAGGGGGTTTGGAGATTCATGATCCTTGAGGTTCCTTCCAACCCTGGCCATTCTGTGATTCTGTGTCACACAATCTCCATAAAGAGAAAGGGCATGCAAAGGGAAGAGTGGCTGAGCTTGATTTTTGGAGGTGGTGAGCGCTGTGCTTTGCACTGGAAATGCTCATGTGGCTGGGAAGTAGCTGGAATCTTGTGAATCACTCCTGATGAACTTTCAGAGTGGCTCAGAATCTGAATCCCTGTGCTGCTGCTATCATCTGCCTATTTTTAATACATTAAGTACATTTCTTATGTACTTTAATTTTCCTCTAAAAGTCCTCAGTGCATTTTCTCATTACTGAATACACCCTTTTCTTGACATGATTTTTATCCTTTTCAATTAGCCAACACACTGATTGCTTTTAAATTCCAGCTTTACCTTCTCTTGCAACTATAAACACTCCTGTGTTCGTACACAAGAAGACAGAGAAAGAAAGAGCAGAATGATATGGGGTTTGCTGAGATGGTGAAGCGTTGCACAGGCGCTTGCATTACCCCATAACATCTCTACAACAGGTAAGTGCAGAACACCTTTTTCAGTCTCCATCATGAGGGTTGGAGCTGTGTGGGCCTTGAGGTCCCTTCCAACCCAACCACTCTGTAGATCTACAGTGAGGGTCTGCATTAGGGGTGAGAAACACACCAACCTGAGGATGGTTTCTGTTGTACAGCAGCTCTCAAAGGGGACAAAATACCCCACTTCGTGACCCACGTTGACATCCATCTCATCAGCTGCACGCAGGGCCAGCTGCACTGCCAGCTGTCCGTGTGTCTGGGAGCACACAGCTGCACCGTGCCTGCAGCCAGCAGCCAGGCAGTGCTCAGCACACCACTGCGGGACCTGTGGTGGGCAAGGACAGTGCTTAACACCTCTAGTAGGGACTGAGATGCAGAATGGAGAAGCATGGGAGAACAGAGCCCACCTGAGCATCAGGTAAGTATAGTTTTAGGTAAAATAGTAGGCTTACATGTGTGTTACATCTTTTTAACCTCGTTTTAGGACAGCTGAAAGAGCTGGTATTTGTTAGGAAGTAGTTTGTTGGTTTTATCTAAATTGCAGTCAATTACACAGGACAGAGGCTCTTCACTTCAAGAAATATCCCAGGCTTCAGGCACTATGTGCGCTCTCTATGGCTGTTTTTTGCTTGAAAATTCTTCTCTGCTATCTGGGGTAGCAGGTTTCAGTTGTTATATATAGACCAGGCTCTGAGCAGCCTGGTCTGCTGGTTGGTGACCCTGCACATAGCAGGGGGCTGGAACGAGATGAGCATTGTGGTCCTTTTCAACCCCAGGCTATTCTATGATTCTGTGATATATTATTATGGCAGTAGACTTGAATACTCCTATTGGATATTGGCTCCAGTGATGTGTTTTACCATTAGTTCTCTAAATTGTGCATTCTTACAAAAAATATTTGCTCTTAGCTGGAGTGAGAGAAGGACCATAGGGCATGGCTTCTCCCTGAGAACAGCCCCCAACTCCCCAAGAACTCCACCTTCCCTTATGCCCTTCCTGCAAACCTTCTCTGTGTCCTTCTCTATGTCTTTCCTGATCTAGCATTAATCAGAATAAAACCACACTTTCCAAGTAAGAATATGCACTGAATCCAGCACAGGTACTACAGAGCTTGCAGTTTCTGCTAAGAGTTCAGTGTGCTAATGGACAGAAACAGGATAAAATGGTGAGTTTAGTCAGAACAAAGGAGGAAAAAAGTCTCCAGCTGAACAGAATGGCAGCCAGTGTCAAAGGAATGGTTTATTGCTGAGTAGTAAGACCTAAAGAATTTTAGCTTTGGCCTCTCTGAAGAGAGTAGAAATGTGCTATAACTTCAGCATCTGATGTGCTCTGTAGCACAGCGAGAGTGTGCAGTTGGTAGGTTTTGGAGTGGAGATGTGATGTATTCTGCAAACAAAGCAAGATTTTACAGTGCATGTACTGATAGATATAAGAGTACTTCATACATAATTTTCTCAAGGTTATTTGTATATTTGGTTCTGAACTTTATATGATAGGATCTTATGCAAGCATTCCTCAGTCGGTTTTTAGAAAAGGCTCAATGTTTCGAAATTGAGCGTTTAGAATGTAGAAAGTTGTCATTTGAGATTTCTGTTTATTGTTTATGATGCTGCTTTAGGCAGTCCCTGACTGAAATGTGTTGGTCTTCAGTGCCCTGCAGCCTGAAGGATGTTGTGTGAGTAAAACAGGTTGTAAGGGACCAACAGAAGTTAGCATGGATTGCTTGCAAGTGCTCACAGAAAGTTATTTATGTGTGCACTTATATGTATTTTTGCATCTATATTTGAGTGACTGCATCTTCTGGAATAGCAGCAGCTTGCTACTAACCAAAACCAGGCACCAGCATGACATAAATCTGGGTATTGGTGTATCTGGTGTAAATGAAGGGCGGTAGCAATGAGTAGGAAGCTGAACATGTTTCTTTTTCTGTTTAAAAATCTGTGCTAGTAGCATTAATAGATTTATTTAATAGTGTTACTACCTAATAGTAACTCTGAGAAGTGTGCAATAGTCAATGTTCTAAAGCTAAAAGCCCAGCAGATCACTTTCTAGTACTCACCTGGGAGCTCTTTCCAGTCTTCGCATCTCCTGACACAATCACAATTTGATGATGAAGCAAACTTTCCATAAAGGCACATCTCACTTTCCATATTGGCAGTTCTTGTCTTTCTTTCATAAGCTTATAGTAACGGGAAGAGTAAGGCAAGCCGTCGAAAGGATTGAGCTCCAGATCTTCTCCATACATCAGTATCTCCTCTTCCTCACCATCACTGCTGACAAGTAATTCCGAAGTGCCGTGGCTCTCTGGAGGAGTGTTTAAAAACTCCATTTTTCTTACGTGTGCTGCTCCCAGCAAAACCACATTAGCAGTGGAAGGGGAACTTTGTACTGATGGGTCACGCGGGCTCTGTAAACCTGGGGAAATCCATTCCTGCTTGCTTTGGGATCAGTGTTTCCCAGCTTTTCAGCTGAAAGGTTCACCTGATGCTCCGTCTTGGGTTCCAGCTTCTCTGATCACTCCAAACCTCAAGTAAATGTATTCAAAATGTACTCTGAGCTTCAAAGTAGCATTGATTGACCCAGCAGATGTCTAGTAGTAGCACTTCTTGCTCTTAAGCAACTACTTGAAGTAGTGCGAGCAGCAGGCAGCATCTCTGCTGCTGCAGAGTAACGGGAAAGGAACGTGGAACTGACAGGACGTGTTGTTGTCCCCAGGCTGCTCAGTGCTGCTAATCCCAGCACAAAGGCTTCATCCTGCGAGCAGAGCTGGCACTGCACTGCTGGGAACAGCCAGCAGCTCGGGTTTGTTGATTTAGAAAGCAGCAAAGTGTCTTTTCATGCCCTGAGTGTATTAACTCTGCTTGGGAGTCCTGTAAGGCTGTAATTAGAAATCTAAACTTAATGCATTAAAAAAAAAAAAAAAAAGCAGAAAGATGCTGATTCTAACATTTCAAGTGTATTGGAAAGATGAGGGAAGCACTGATGTAAAGTAACTCTAACTCAAAAATAACAAAACAGGGGTTCCTAATCTTGACTGTCTGCCTCGTCACAGAGATTAAACAATGCTTCTAGTTGCAGAGGAAAGCCTTTTGTTGAGCAACATATTGGTAATGCTTTGACAAGCATGCCATGAGCACGATGCTTTTCCTAGATTGAGGTTTCTCTGCATTAAGTAACATAATACAAATTATTGCCTTTTCTTACAGATTTTTCTTGTTTTGTTGTTTTGGGATCCAGTGCTGCTAAGGTGTTCTTCTACGACAGCAGCATAGAGAACCAACAAAGCAGGAGAAAATATCTTTGTTCAGCAGCCGGAATATCTCAATCCAAGTGAGTTGAGTTATGTGCTGCTCCCAGAACAGGCTGTTGTTGGCACTCAGTGTGGCTGGCAGTGAGGGCTGACTGACTGCCCGCTGTGGGGGACAAAGCCAACTGCAAGCTGGAGGAGCAGCCCTGGAAGGTGGAGGAGCAGGTGAGCGATCTGTGCTGCACAGTGTGCCTCAGGTGAGCCATCCGTGGGGAACTGCTGATGGATCAACGTCCCCGTGAAGGTGACAGGAGTCTACATTTCGTGCTCAGTGACACCAAGTTATGTTCACGTTCAGTTGGGGGTGGAGCTTCTCTTCCCACTGTGACCTTTGTGGGTCCTTGGGCACTTGATGATTTTCTGTTACATCCTTCTCTGTTTAATTGCGTGAAATCCTTGTGAGCTTGCTATCGTTGAGATCTCTGCCTCTCTCAGATGTGGTTGAAATCAGTCAACAGCGCATAAATGTTCTGAGGGAACTAACAGAGGGCATCCCTACATGTTGCTTCTTCTCATAACCCAGCTTAAATGACATCAGTTGAAGAGGCGAATTGCTATTATCCTGCATTTTTTTGCTGCTCATTTTTCATATGCAGTAGCAGTATGTTCTCTTTAATTTCTTCAGCTACGGTATAGGTCTGTTGTCTTCAAAACATGAGAGGGCAATGATATTTTTTTGCTCACTGGGGTTGGAGCTGGGTGATCAGTGAAGTCACTTGCATCCTATGCCATTCTTTGCTATGAGTCTATGATTGAACAAATTTAAATTTCTGATTGTACCTCAACCTTTGTTTTGTTTTTACTTTTTCATACCTGTAACGGAAAGGAAAGACAGGTTACCAACTCAAGAAGAATTTTTGCTCTTTGGAACCCAGATGCAACAAAACTGATGTTTTTCTCATGGTTATGAAGGTTTTAGTAGAACAAGTTGTTAACTGATTTAAACGATTCGTCTGCACTGAAATGGGCTGTGGACAAGCTTTATCCTGATCTGCAGCCAGGTACAATGGAGCATTTTGAGCCTCTTCGTGTAGCACCAGCCCAGCAGCTCTCTGCAGCCAGCATCCCTGGCATTTGAGGAGACCAAGAACACAGCCAAGGGCTGGGCTGGGAGCGTGATTGAGCATTGCCTCTGTGAATTCAGGCATCCAAGCAGCAGCTCTTTGCTGCTCAGTATGCCTCGTTGCTGAGACTCAGCCATTTTAATCCAGAGCAAGTATCTGAGCTTGTGTTTCTAGTCCTTAAGCGTGACCTCAGGATGTCTACCTGCTCTGTCTTGCTCTCCATTGCCCCTCTGTTCTGAACCTTCTCATTGAACATCTCCTGTAGGTCCACTTCACATGTCCTCAGGGACACTGTGTGTGCTCCTGGCTTTGGCTTTGCTGTTGGGTGAGGTCTCTTCTTCCTCACAGAGTGTGGCACTGTTTTCTGAGAGGGATTCCTGTTTGTCTCTTCAGATTGCTGCCATTCCATCTTTATTGGCACAGGGAATGATGAGATCACTGTCCCTGGAAATGTTCCAGTACAGCAGAGACGTGGCACTGAGGGTCGTGAGCAGTGGCTATGGTGTGGTGGGGCTATGGTTGGGCTTAGGGATCACTGAAAGCTTTTCCAACCTTTGTAATTCTGTGATTCCAGCAGGCCCTTTGGGATTTGCCAGATGTACTACTTAACATAATACAGTGAGATTTAGTTAATTATAATAAATAACAGGAACGCCCACTGCGGATGAGTGCTTGTAGTAAATGGGAGGAGAAGCTGCTGTGAAAGATATCAGTGAGAACTTTGCTATTGGTTCAAATTATACGCTGTGTTCAGTGCTTGTGATGATGTGTTGTAGCAAAGCAGTAAATGCCATGTTACACATTCTCTATCCTTAATAACGCCTTGCTAATGTAGGGACTCTTCAGAGCTTTCCCATTATATCTTTGAGAGGAGGAGGATTTTCTGTGCGTAAATTATATAAATTAGTAGTATCAGTGGTAATAGAATGCTCTTTCTTTCTTCCATTTTTCTTCCCTGGTTTTGGCAGCAAGAGTTTACAACAGTAATGGAAATTTAAGGAGGTGACTTCTTTCCCCAAAATGTCATTTAAATACGGGGCTTCAGATTAAATTTTAGATGATATTAAATCCCCATTTCAGAGCTTTTCCATGATAAAATGGGACAGGACAGGGTGGGTGTCCTTGTATACAACACATGTGGAACCTGTATGCACAAACCCTCTGGATTTGATTGCAGGGGGAGCAGTGCCAAGCACTCATCCTGGAATCGAGGACATCACCATGATTTATGGAGTCTTATTACTAAAAACGACACTTTAATAGTCTCTGCAGGGATATTTTTTTGGTTGCTTTTTATACTCATATGAATATGAAAGTTTGGTGCCTGGCCAACAGACAGCAAGCAAATGTGGAAAAAGATCCCTCTCACTGGAAGAGTGTGTTAGCATTTCTGTTGGCCTACTGGCAGCAATGCTTAACCTTGCTTACGCTGTAATGTATTACTGTTTATTGAGTACACTGTAAAACTAAAATAGAGCATTTCCCTCCTATCCAATAGTTCTGAGTCACTCTTTTATTGTGTTTTAATTTCCACTTACGATTTTGTTGGCTGGTGAAATATTATTTGTTTTGTGTTTTTTGCTCCTGAAACGTTGACAGATTGGTTCAGAACAAAGTGTTTCAAGTCAGCAACCGAAAAGCCAACCTTTAACTCACTGGTTGCCCAGTTTTGAATGAGAACATTATGTTTTCTGAGCTGAAACTTTGCCATTTACGTGCACAAGCGGTATACTTGCTTGAATCCGAGTCTTCCTTTGCACATTTATTAGGGTAAAACTAGGAAAGACACTTGTTATTTTTTTCTTGTTTGCTGATTGTGGATTCAGATGGGAATTCAATTAAAAATCACAAAATAGTTGTTTTACATAGTAACTTTGTTTAAGAAGAAGAAGAAAAATCTTTTCAACTTTCTATCAAACTTATTAAGATCTGGAAGTGTGGAGCTGTTGCCCTGAGCGGATGTTTCTGGATCCTGCAAGATTTTGAAGATGTGATTTTTTAGTTGTCTGTGTTTTCTTCCTTCACTTGACTTCCCCCAACAAGTTACTGTTACTATTTTTCTCCTTCCCACCTCAAATATGTTAATTGTTGACTTGAATTAGATTCAAACCAAGAAAACATTCTCTTTTCTCTGTAGCCTTTAATGGCCAGAGGCTGCTTTGTCATTCCAATAGACTGGCACAATGCAGTGACTTTGCTGAGCTCAGCAGTGGGAATAAATGCTGATTTCTGCCAGTGGGTCATAGTGAGTTCAGGTCTTAATACAGGTTATTTTGAGATGCATTTGAAGTACTTTTTATTTTTAAAAAGAGAACTTTTACAGATTTATTAATCATTTATTTTGCTCCTCATCCCTAATTAGCAACATGGGCAATTTTAACTGGGAGAAAACCAACTTGCTTTTGTAGACCTTGTCCCACAAGACCAGTGTATGGAACTAGGCTTCTTCCTGTGCCTGGGAGTCAGGAAAAGATGATGAGAAAGGTTGGAAACCACTGCCAGAACCACCCCATACCCGTGTCATCTCCAAGATGGGACCATGATGACAGGCTTGGTATGGGCCAGAGCCTGAATGCCACAAAATTTTGGAACAAGAAAGTTCCTAATGTTCTTGTGTGTTACTGTAGGTATTACCAATGTGTGCTTAGTGAAACCATTGGCTATCTCATTACTTGCAGTATAGTTGTGTTAGGACATTATCCCCAGAGCTGTCAGCCAGCCATCAGAGCTGTTTGTTTGCTCTTTGTTTGACTGTTGGCATAAGATGTAAGCTGGTGGCTATGCGGGTCTTTTGCAAGTACTTTTTTATCCCAAGTTGTTTTAGAGAATGGCTGTAAATGTTTAAACACCAGGGCATCTTAAGAAGACGGATGATAGGAGGTCTACATGGAATTTTATTCTAATTTATCAATGTTTTTCTATGTAATCAGATATCTTCATCTGCTTTCTATTCTCTTTATGTTGTAGAAAAAGCAAGGCCAGCATTTTCTTTTCAAGCTGTTAGCATAACAGCCAGGCGTTCTGTAGGCTTCATGCTTTCCAGAGCTGGAACAGCAGGAGGAGGAGGAGGAAGAAATAGAGATAATTCATCAGGAAGAGAATAAAAGGGTATTTTGCACTTGGAACTGAATTGAGATGAGGAGTCAGCGAGGCAGTGTTAGCACGGCTTGTTCCAAATGACAACAGAGAAGCCTGGGCAGGGGCCAGGCCATCTGATGGTAGTGACAAACCTGGTGGGGCTGGAGGAATGCCGGGCTGGTTGTTGGGGCTTCAGCTCTGTGCACCACTGGGAAACGCTCCCTGGAAAGTCTCTTGGAGAAAGCTGGGAACTGGTTGTGAGTGCTGTAGTGGCAGGGTTGTGTTTTTCTTTGAATGCGAGGGTTGAAATATGTTCATGGTCTGGAATGTGACTTTTGGGGAGATAAACTGGAACATATGGAGGGGATGTGGAGCAGTGAGAGGGGAAGGTGTGAAATGCAGTGGAACACAAATTCAGCAAGGCCACCTGCATTTATGGATTGTGGTAAATAGCAGCAGTGATGGGCTTATGGGCAGAGAAGGGACCGCATGGAGGGCAGAATTACATCAGGCTGGGGCAAAGGAGCCATCAGTTCACCTAAAAGTCTGATGAGGAGGTTTCCCTGGCTGCCTAATTCAAACCCAGCAATGCTTTGGGCTGCAGAAGAAAGTCTTGCAGAGAGGAGCAGAGCAGCAGGGCTGGCATTTGCTATCAGACTGGCTTCAGTTTTCTTTACAACTTTTGGCAGCAGACATGGATCTTTCAGAGTGGTCATTGCTGTTGTGGTGGCTGATTAAACAGAGAAGACTCTTCAGAATTGATTTTCTGTGTTTTAAGATATTCCAACCTCTTTAGGATGCAGTCAAAGTGGTTTGTTTTTATATTTCCCCAATAAAATAAGCCTCAGCCCCTCTCCAGGCATTTTTATGCCACCGGTGTTCACCTTTTTCTATGCAGAGGTTTATTCATTACTCTGTGATTATGGATTGCTGAAGTCTTGGATCAAGCAGAGTGGAAAAAGTATGTATAATCTAATTTACTACTTGATATAAAAAGTATTTCATATCTGCTTTTTTTTGTAAGAACAAATTTGATTGATTTTCTTCACGAGAACTCTGAAAATGTTCATTTATTTGTACTTGCTTACCTTTCAAAAGCTTTGAACTTACAGCTTAATAACCTGGTGAATACAGCATGAGAAGTGAAAGTGTAAATGTTGCAGGTTGAAGATGCTTTCTGGTAAATGCATCCTGCAATACCAGCAAACACGATGCTGCCAATGAGAAAAGCGAGGCCTAGTGATGGGAATGCGGCTCGTGTGCTGAGGCTGGGCTTTGTCTGGGCTGCTGTTGACGTGGCTGTTTTCCTCTGCTCAGACAGACGCTGTCACGGGGAGCTGGCAGGGGTCCGTGTGCTCTGAAAAGAGAAATTCGTTTTGTTTTGGCGTTAGGAGGCCGCGCTCATGTGACACCACTTTGGCTCGGCGCCTCTGGGCTGCGTTTGGTCACTGCCGCGGTTGTGCTTTGTTACAGAGCTGTTGTAATGCTGTGGTCATCAGCTGAGACCCAGGAAATCCCATTTCTCTTCTTTGGCCGCCATTTTGCCCAAGCTGCTGCTGCAAATTTTGTGCCCTAATCAGGTCGATGGGGGTTTTGTTACAAACTTAAATGGGGTCAGGCTTTGTTCTTTGGCTTTTGCCTGGCAGTTGCTATTGGAGTCAAAACGTTAGGGAAGGCCATGTGGGTTGGTGTGGCTATGGTCTGCCAAATCAAGGCTCCCTGTTACTGCACATGTAGATAGTATTTAGTGTGAATGTCAGCTTCATTACAGATGCAGAACTAAATGCTCGGCCTTTGAATTTAATGGGAGTTTTGCCACTGACATCAAGCAAGCCAAATTTTCTTCCAGAAAATGTTGATAATATATCTGCGAGACATCTGTGGTTGAAAGAATTATGGAAATGGCTTGTTTTCCAAAAGCAGAGTAACCCCTCCTGTGGGGTCAGACCTGCTTACAGTTTCCAGAGGCAAGCAGAAGAGTAAATGCTAGATAATGAGTGATCTCTTGATCCTGAATTTGTTTGCTTCTGTTGAAGAAAGCAAATACAATTTTACATGTTGATTAAGAGAAATAACTGCTTTATTACTTTTCCTATGTTCTCATTAACTGTTGCTCCCACTGAGATAAGTTCACATCTTTTATTTCACCTTAACTTTGAAAGTTTCCAGAAGGATAACTTTATGCTCTTTCCTTTGATAGTGGTGAAGCAGACTGCAGCTTTTGGAACCATTCTGCAGGGTGTTAGGAAGGACGGTATGGTCGTGGCAATGAAATCCAGTATCTATTATCATAGTAATCACTTCAGTTGAATTTTTTAGAACCTCTGAAACAAGAGGTGAACTTAGTATGTTTGCACTGTACGTGCATAAAAGGTAGGATCTTGCTTTAGAGTTCAGAAAAACGTTGCATGGGCTAAACTGTTGCTTATTTTTACAAATTACACGCGCTCAAAGAACTACTGAATATCTTTGTCTACCTAATTGTTATTTCTACACTCTTTTCAGTTACTTTCAGTTGTCCTTTATTGAATAAGTCATGAAGAAGTCTTACGCAAGCAGGACAACAGTCCCAGCCCTGGCAGTGCGTGATGGCTGGTGGGGATCTGCTCCAGTCCACCTATCTGGGGTGAGAATCAGCAGCTATTGTACTGCACACAACCTCTAGTTGTAAAACCATGCTCATTGACATCTGAGTATGAGTGGGGAATACAGTGACCAGACTATGTTCTAATTTGGGATAAAACCAAACCAGATGCTCATCCTTCAACCTCCCCTAATGTATGAGTTCAGCACTGTGTCCATTCCGCTTCAGTTTGAAAAGCTGGGCCAAAGTTTTAATTGTGCTTGAAGAGGCTGAGGAGAAAGTGCCCAGAATGGGGGATGAAGGTCTGAAAGAGGAAGAATAGCTGAGTAATAGGTTGAAAATTGGCTTCTTATTGTTCAGTGGGTTTAGAACCTAGCAAACTGTTGGGAGACTTTCACTGTCCGGGGAAAATGTGATTTCCTTGATCGAAATGACAAGAATTTTTCTAATGCTTTACAGATTTTAATAATGCTTCATAATTAGAATTAAAATGGTCTTACATATGGCACAGCACTACTTACAGGGTAGTATTTGCTACTGTTAAAGCATATCCAGTGATAGAGACCGAGCTAAATAATACCAACCAGTCTTGTTTTCTCTCCACTTACAGAAAATGAGGTATGTATATGGTAACAAAAACACAATAGATGTAGGTATGATATTTTTATACACAAGAAAACGTAGCTTCTGTTTCCTTTTGGACTAAATACAAAATGGTGATGTTTGCAGTGGTAAAGGGGAAAAAAAAAAAAAAAGAAAACATCTGAATCAGGATGAGAGATTTAGATATCAGTGCTTTAATATTCCCCTTATTTTCATCAGGAATAGAGAGGAACTGAAGCCTGTGGCATTGTATAGCTGACTGGTGCTTTCTGCCTGTTGAAGTGTTCTTTCCATGTGTACTGCACTGGCTTTTGAGAATTTATGTGGGGGAATTTGTCACTAGGTGGCAGAATTAGACTGTATTAGCACTATCATTTTTTAGGATTTGTCTGCTTGGCTTCTTTATAGTCCATAAATGTCTCTATGACTATACCAAGCATTCAAAAATATTTCGATTTTAAAACAGTTTCTAATAAACACAGCTCTTTCAGAAGAGTGATTTTGTGGAATAGAGA